TACCAAACCATCATTACTGATCGTTTCTATTTTTAATGTTTTATTTTTTGTGCAAATGATAGAATTCTGAAATTCTTTGACTTTTCAGTAATTGTATAGCCTTTGATGAAAATTTGATTCTTCATCACACATTCATTCATAACAATTTATTCATTTGATCCTTTTAGTGAATAAGAAATCTTGGTCCTTTTAACGTTAACAGTGTAGTATTGAACTTCAATACTAGAAGGTAAAATTTCTTACTAATCGAAAGAATCAACGAATAAACGTTTCAAAACTGAACAGTAATTGGCGCGTGGTTTAAAAGCATAAAAGGAGCGCTATAAAGAATTCCCAAAGATTATCATTATAGATGAAATTGACAATTCAAAACAATTCCCTTTTGCGTTTTATATATATATATATATATATATATATATATATATATATATGTATGTGTGTGTAATAATTGTTATTTACTTATTAAAGCGTAACATAAGTTTATGTTAAACAACGTTCGAGAATTCCGAAATTTTGTGTCGTATCTTTTTAGGGGTATTTCTATATAAGGAAAAAAATAGAAGAGTCTTCATTTATTGTCAAAAAAGTAAAATTTTCAAAAGCTATGTTTTTTTTTCAATCACTGATACAAAAAGTTGGATCTGTCATATACTATAATCAAGTTTCGAGTTAAAGACGAAGAACTCTGACGACGTCAGCGACATTGCTGCGCCATTGATATCGAGGACGAGCCATCCCGATAATTTTTTACCCGTCGCCGTCGTTGTCGATGCTGAAAGAAATTTCGCTGACTCAGCCGCAGCCGTTCCGGGCTTCTTCTTCGGGCTTTGAGCACTGAAAAAGAGAGCCGAGTTACAATTTACTGCGATAACGCTGTATCTCGGTAGGTCGTGACGTAAGGTTATCGTGCATGCTTTTCCGTAGTCGGAACGCGTTCAGTCTCGCGTTTTCAAACAAATTACCGTCTGTGACTGGCGCGACGGTTCCATTTTTCAAGTCCCGTCGCTGCGCAATGTTTGTTAACGCTCTTCGCCGACCGTTGTTGACCAGCAGATCTATTCTGTAACTCTTAACGCAAATTTCGTTGTCATTATAACGTTGCTGCGCTCTTTCATCATGGTAAAAAAGCAGTGCAATGGCGTTATAATGACAACGAAATTTGCGTTAAGAGTTAGAGAATAGATCTGCAGGTATCCCAGAATCACTGGATGACTCGAAAAACAACGATAGAACTTCCACAAAATTATATAACTTACATTTGCATCATTGAAAGGCACTTAAAATTCGAAATGTCAAAATTAAAAAATAAACGTTTAACCTTTAATAAAAAATATAATTATCTCACATGTATTTCTGCACTTTATTTTTCTGCTTTTTATATAAAGTTAACAATATTTGAAATGTAAAAGCTATAATACAAAGAACTTAAGGAGTAAGTAAATGAATGTTTTAGATTTGTTATTGCTTATTGCTTTACCTTTGTAATTGACCTATTCATTTTGCTTACGCCTCCATTTTGCTTATTTTCACATGAAAGTATAGTAAGTAGTATGCCGTAAGAAATCGACTAATCACAATCGAATGTGAGAAGAATAATCGACTTTGATTGGTCAATTTCTTACAGTTTATAGTTTACTACACAATATTACCCATTGTAGACGGCCCGTAAATCTCTCACGTGAAAAATAAGAATGTAACAAAAGATCAGTAATTTTGTTTGAGGAGAATTGAATTGAATTACGTGAAAACATTTTTTTACATCCAACTTTCAAAATATGTTGAAGTAGCATCGTTTTATCATTTGCGTCGGGTATACAGTACTTTATTCTTCACTTTTGTCACTATGAATCCTCAGCAACAATAAAACGGGTGTTCTCAACGTTCTTTCAATTATCGCATCGCCGTCGCGAAGTGGCACTCGCGCGGGTCTTGTGAGTATACATAATGAAATGAAAAAAAAAAAAAAAAATACAAACAGATTCGATCAGGTATACGAAACAGTAGGACGCGGTTTCTACCAGCAGCCGGAGCGACATTTCTGACGGCATTCTACTCGTTTCCGTGCCGGCATCTCGTGACCGCGGATTCCGCGCGCGCACGTATTATTTACTCCGCGGTTTCGCGAAAATAAGGCGAGTAGAAAAAGGAGAGGATTAAAAAAAAGGGGGGGAAAAGAAAAGGAGAGGGAAGGTGGACGTCTTGCTCTTGTGCAAGCTTTGCCGCCGGGTGAAAGTCTGTTTGCAGTCTACGAGAACACGTTGCCGGACCGCTCTCGAGATGGATAAGGATCTCGAGAGGATCGATCGCGCTCGACCGCCGGCTCTCGTGAGAAATTTATTGGCCGATCACGTCGGCCCTGCCTTTTCCCGTAATATTGTCCCATGCGGGAGACGCGGAACCTCTCAGACGAATCGCGGGATCGGTACTATTTCGATTAAATCAGATCTTTCAAAATTGTTTCCAGTAAACAATTTGAACAAAAAATCGAAATTTAAGATAGACACTTCAAAAGTTTGAAAGACATTTTTGCGAGAACTGTTCTATAAAAGACGTCTAAAAGATATTTTATAAGATCATCTCTAAGTCCCATTTTCACTATATGATGGTTACCTAAAGATTACCACGAAATTCATGAATGAATATCATTGATGACCTTTAATTCTTAGATAACCACATATTAGGAAAACGGATGTCTCATGTTCTGATTTTGGACTTCGTTCGGATTATTTGGATTACTTCCTCCAGTTACGAGTGACGTTTGCAAACATCGCATGCAAAGGTGACGCGTTATCTTTTTTCGTTATCTTTTTTCTATTTTCGTTACCTTTTCCGTCACACGGTAGCATCGTGAAAATTGGGGATGAGTCACGCCCGCAGTTGAATTTGTTTCCATGCGGAACGGACTGAATCGATATTTCCGCAAAATTACAAATGATATCGATTTGCAAATAATTCGTGGCGCGGCTTAATGAGCCTGTTACCGCACACGACGATCGAAAGCGGTGAGACACTCGGAGGACCGGTCATTCCTGCAATGCCTTCGCCGAGTCGATCCGCATTACGTAAGGATCAACAGCGTGCACGTAAAGATTACGTCGCGCTGCGAAAGCTTGCTGAAATAAAGTCAACGGTTAAATAAAGCCGCGTCGGAATTAGCGATTCTGATCACGTCTCGTGCGGTGGTTAACGCGATACAATCGTCTTACGTGAACTTTTGCTTCCCGTTATACTGCACAGAGCCTTTAATATTTATTAATTAAATCTCTGCGAGATCAGAATTGACCCTACTTAATCTAAAAATAAAAAGATTTTTGAGAAATTAGTCTCTTAGCGAGATAGAAAATTTTATTATTCGATTCTATTCGATCTACAATAATAAGGAAGATCATTGGAAAATTCTAAAATCATCATGAAACTTCTAGAAAGGTGTGTGTGTGTGTGTGTGTGTGTGTGTGTGTGTGTGTGTGTGTGTGTGTGTGTGTGTGTGTACAAGGTGAACCAGAGTCGTTGAACCAAATTTTTACTTTATTAAAGAAAATTATCGACTCCGTACTCAATTGAATTATAACGTGTGCAGTCAATTATTTTTTTCATAGTAATAGGATAGAAATTTGAATACCTTAGAATAATTCCAGAGAGAATTCCAATGTATGACGTTTAAAAAAATTACTTAAATTCGATTGGAGACAATGATAAAAGTTGTGGACTTTGGTCCTATGCTGTTCTATATTCAAATCCTTTGTAATACCAATAGGTCTTTTTAGAGTGCACAATAGAAAAACTTAACCTATGTATCCATAAATATTATTGTCGAGAATCTTAAAGAGTTTGTCAAAATACACAGTGATGTGTTCTTGTCGTCTACTAGTAGATAAAATTAACGCAGCATTCAAAATTTTTTGTATATAGTCAAAAATTCTTCCCAATTGTAACATCCGCAAGAGCAACAATAGTCAAAGAGAGGCAAAATCAGAGTTATAATCAAATATTTATAAAGAATTTATAAAGAAGAAGAAGAAGAAGAAGAGAGAGAGAGAGAGAGAGAGAGAGAGAGAGAGAGAGAGTTTGCAATTTATATCTACGCAATCAGACGGGCATGTTGCGAACACTTGAAACACACAGTGGCTGCCATCGGATTGGCCGCCTTCGTGCCTTATAGGGTCTCGCACATGCGCGCGGGCGCTCTATGTATCTTGCGACATCCATCAGACGACCGACTACCATCGCTGGTGTGCTACTCTTTCTTTCCGCGCGTTTCTTCCCTCTGGTGACAGCGGCGGTTGCAACCCGTCGTCACTTCACCTCCATTCCATTCGCGAGTTCAGTCCGATCGGTCCTGCTTGTTCTCTCCGTGTCCTCTCTTTGTCCTTTATATCCTTTTACCTCACTCAGTTTCCTCTTCTTCTTTGGTCTTGTTGGTCCCTTTAATTCGTTGATCCTTTTCGTCTTTCTGTCTTAATATTTTTACTCTGTTAATTGCCTTATTTTTATGATGTCTTAATTCTTCCGTTAAATTCTTATAAGTCCTCTTTTCTTTTGTTCTTACTTGCTATTTATTATTTTTCTTTTCTTGACTTCTGTTCTTTTATTTTCATTCGTGTATTTTGACATTTTTTGTTTTTCTCAATCTTTTTATATTATTGATAATTTTTTTATCTTACGATTTTCTATTAATTATAATTTTCTTTAATAGCTATTTTCTGAATTATACATTTCGATCGCTCAAAGTCATGCTTAATAAGTAATAATAAGAAAGTAATAATACTATTTTTATTTACAAATTCCTGATAAGGAATACTATATGTGAGAGGGACTTTTTATTGTTTCTTAATTTCAAGAAAAATGACAAGTCACAATTAATATGGATTTTTTTCCGAATATAACATAAGAAATGTCTCATACTCATATTACCGGCTTCACCTCTTGCATGACAAAACACACACATGGATACCGTCGATTCGATGCGCTAACTAAAGTGTCGATACATCGATTTGTTCCAGCAGCCGCCCAGCTCGCAGGAGCGTGGCAGCGGCTTGGCTGTGGGGCGCCAGGGGGGACCCGGTAGCACGGGGGGGCCCGGTGCGGTGGATCAGGCGAGGGATTTGAGTCCCTGCCTTCCTGCGTCGATGGGCGATGCTGCACGACCTACTACTCTACCGTGCAGTCCTCCTGCTGCCCATCATCACGGGTCCCATCATACGCCCCTGCATCAGACCCACTGTGGCACCAATAACAACTGTTACGACGGCTCGACTACCCCTTATGAGTCGAGGGATTACGATTCACCCGGAGGTACGATTATCTTATAACTATCGAAGGTCAGGCGAAGGATGTCAGAAACCATTAAGATGGTTGGGTTCGAGAATTGATCAATAGAATTAACCATATTTTGAAATATGTTTTATTCTTTGAAACTTTCAACTTAATCTTTAGAGTAATCTTTTGAATCTTTTGAATCGTAGAGATATCTGAATTAGTTAATTTATTGAGTGCTTTGTAGTATAAGGTATTAATAACGTTAACGATGAATGGAAGTATGAATTATTGATAAATCCTTCTGTTGTATTTCTCAGCAGGCGGGCAAGAATACAGGGGCAGTGGTGGAAACTTCGAGAATGCCAATGATCTAAGCATGCCATCGCAAACAGCGCATCACCATCATCATCACCACCATCATCATCATCATCATCCCCATCTGCATCCGCAGGCTCAGGACCAACAAACCACGACAGACCACTTGCATGCCATCCCGAAGCTGGAACCGCCGCCTACGCCGCCCTCGCAATCCGAAGATGTCCCGGGGAATGTAGTTTGCGCGGGATGCGGTCTCAAAATATCAGATAGGTTCTACCTCCAGGCAGTCGACAAGAGGTGGCACGCTGCGTGCCTCCAGTGCTCGCACTGTCGTCAGGGTCTCGATGGGGAGGTCACCTGCTTTAGCAGAGACGGCAATATCTACTGCAAAAAGGACTATTATCGGTGAGCGAACGCTTGGATTTGCATTAACAATCTAGACATTCTAGACATTCTAGAAGTAAGCCTACTTTAGCGTAATTATAGTTTTTTTAACTATGATGACAAAAAAGGAAGAAAATTTTAATAATGCCGATGTTGTGGGCGAGATTGGCGCAAAGCGGTTTGATATTAAAATAAAAATGCGATGCAAAAAGAGACATGTGAATCAGTGATTCAAATACTAGAAGAAAATACGAAGTTGCTATTTAACGTGCTCGCAATTGCACTTCAGGCTCAAAGAAGACCTCTTAACTTAAGGATCGCTGAATACCTTCGCGCAAGAGAGGCTCGACACTTGAGAAGAGAATCTTGATTTCTCCAACGTGGACGATCTTATTGATGTCCGCGATTGCTGAGCGATTTCGTCCTATTTTCGATGAGACGAGACCGCGACTTGTTACGAAGTCGCCGAGAATAGCCTGCACCGCTCACGCGAGCAAGTCAAGCGCGAAGTAATTTCTACCGATTTCCAGGGCCGATTTGAAGAACGCGTTGAAAAAGAGTCGCATCGCCTGTTACGTAACTGCCGTTTCTCCGCGAGCGTGCATCTGTGATTTCGGTCGTTATGAATGCTTGTAACTATCTACAAATTGCATTGACAGAGCCGCATTACGGAGGATAATGTGAAGCGCAATTTTTGAGCGAGCTCTTCGTCGAGACTGTTTGGCTCTGAGAAATACGCAGTTCTCGGTATATTCTCGAAATTTTGAAATCTCCTGGGAATTTTCGTAAAAATGTTCTTACGAGGAATACTGTAAATGTAGATGACTTAGGACAGTGCAAATAATTTGGGATAGCATGTATTTTTTGTTAAATTCAATTATGGAATCCATCCATGAGTCTCTAAAGGATAACTTTCACACTTATTTTTAGAGACTCATAGATGAATTTCATGATTGAATTTAACAAATACATGTTGTCCCAAGTTATTTATACTGTCCCAAATCACCTACATTTGTGGTACAATTAAGATACAAATTTAATCTATAAATCATATACTTGCGACAGCAGCGGAAAAAATTTTGAAAATTTTTAAAAATATTACATATTTGTATAAAAACGACGTTGATAAATGGATTTGTCATATCACTTTTTTCATTTGTCATAACACGAGCGCGTGAAATGTTAGCTCTATGATTCGTGAACTTTATTAATTAATAATTTAAAATCTGTTGTAATCTCGATATTTTTTATGTTAAAACTATTTGCTTAGAATATTAAAAAAAATCTGCTCTCAAAGGGACACCTGGTGATTTTGGGATTTGTGCACGCAACTTTTTTAGGAAAGAAAATAGATGATTGGCTAAATCACGAAACTCTACACGGAAAAAAAATGTTTGGTTGAACTAATTGGAATTCTGGTGGAAAATGAACGATTTAGAATTCTGGTTAGATCTACAAGATTTCTGGTTAAATCTACTGAATGTTGATTATTTCAATTAGAATTAATAGATTTAATCAGAAATCTTGTAGATCTAACTAGAATTCTAGATTGTTCAGTTTCCACCAGAATTCCAATTAATTCAACCAAACATTTTTTTTCTGGGGAGCTTACATTTATAAAAGTAGAGCCACTTGAAAGTAACTTTTGTATTTGTCGTATAGGAGTTTAATGAATAAATTCTGGTAAAATCATTTTTGTAATATATCGATGGCCACTTGCGACGCGTTGTTATGCAGGGCCGTAGCGGAGAGCCTGATGTCGTGTCGGTATCCCAGTCGGGCCTCACACGGTGTCGATTTGCGCGTTGTCGCTTCGTAGGTACGGGGGCCGACCCATACGTACCGTGATTCACGAACTAATGGTCACGACTCAACCATTTACCTCCGGTGGAGCGTCGATTGTTGATAAGTAAATCACTGCCGATCTACATTTCGCGAACGGCGGACGTACAACACGTGCATCAGCCTCACCCGCTTTCGAATGACCTCTGGAGCCACGTCAATTACCAGCAATTCATCAATAGTCAAGTTTTCAAATCGCTTGATGAAACTTCGAATGATCTAACATAGTGTAGGAAGTAAGCTGATGTCATTTTGGTGTCAAAATGACATCTTTGACAACATTTGTCCTCAGAAGTCACTGGTTTTCGTGATAATTGCAAAAAGAAGGAATAATTAAGCTAACATTATTCGATGGATTAATTTGAGACTCGATATTAATTAATCACTCTAGAAATATTGAAAATTGTTGATTCTTTGCTATTTACGAGTTACATCAAATGTCTCTTCGCGTTACATGGATTTAATCTCGGCGCGTCCGCCATTGCGGCGTCGTCACGCCACAAACTCATCAATTACGTGGCTTCATCGGTGTCTCCTTAATGTCTTATCGTCTTAAAATCGTCGTGGGCGAACATAACTCGCCCGTTGGTTCTGTCGCAATTTCGGGAACTGCCTCTCCATGTCCTCCCTTTCTCGCGCTGTGCCACCAAAATCGCATTAGCCGATCTTAGGAGGGTGCACCCGAGATCCCGGGATAAGCAGCTGGTTCCGTCGGACGCGTGCTCCGACTTCCGAGCGCGGGTAAAATAAAAAGAAAGACGAGAAGTCACATGTATGCGCGCAGTTCGGGGAACTAAATTAGCCACCGCTCGTCACTTATGGTGATTCGGTTCGTTAGGTACCTGATGTGATCTTAATAGCATAATAGTATAAATAAATATATAATAAGATTTACTTTACGCGTAGAGATTCTATAGAGATTTTCCGGGGACTTTGTGCGATGTTCTTGCTGCACAATTCTTTTTGATTTCGTGGCAATCATAAAGGCTACGATTATAGGCTTATTATTTTGCTTTTCCAAGCCAGGTACACAGCGTCTTTTCGTTGCGTCTTTTCGCGGCACTCGAGACGCTCTCCATTTACTGCTTGAAACTTAAGACTAGTACAGACGTTTACATAAAGCTGGTTCTATACATTAGTCGCAAGTCAATCTCAAACTTGTTGCCAAACATAGGCATAGTCGAGTCTTATATTTAAGATTATCTTGAGGTGTTATGAACCAGTCAGACTCTGATATTCATAGTCGTTTCTTACTTCAAGATCGTTTTAAGTAATGTCTTAAGACGCTATGCGACCTTCTGATTGATTCATGACATCTCAAGACAGAACTTAAAATGATCTTGAATATAAGAACCGATTATGAATACCGGCCTCTGGCTGTATCAGAGTCTTAAGATGGTCTTAAAATAAGAACGAACTATAAATTCCGGCCACAGAGATCTTATAACAGAAGACACCCTATCTATTCAAGATGACAAATTTTTGATTGGCTTATCGTTTTTGTCAACTTCAGTAAGTTAGTATAAGTAAGATAGTAAAAGTTAGAATAAGATAGCACATATATAAAAAGAGACAATACATATACCCTTCTTTCTTATTCTTGTTTTGTGACAAAATTGCTTGCAGCCAAATTCTGTTATAGGGTTTCTAGTCAAATGAAGAGTCAATTGATTTAAAATTGATGCTTTAGATTGTCACAGCAAGCTTGCGATTAACGTGCAACTAATATAGAACTAACTCATTGCACTAGGAAAATAAATCAAAGTCTCTCCTTTCTATGAAATAAAGAACACTGATTAGTTGATTTCCTTATGTTTTGTACATTATGCGTTATGCAAAGATCTGTGCTCTGATCTTTAAACTTTTTGTTATCGCGAATTCGTATGTTTCTTGTTTGGGAAACATAACATCCTGGGAAGGAGGTGTGCACGCGTCGGATTGCATTCACACGTCGCGCATTCGTGCACGCGAGTTCCGTTGACGAGCGTGCAAGTGCTGCGCGGCATCTTATGTACCCGGCATCGAGGATGAAATAGCACAGACATCCCGTCACGACACGATTTTAGCCCAAAGTCTTATCTCATTGCTTCGCATGCGCGTTTGTGGCGACCGACTGTTATTAGCCGGGAACGTCGCGCGTCCATGCGACTAGCTCGACTTTGCCATAACATCCATTTGAATGTTTGTTCTCCACAAGAATCAGTGAATATCTGTTTGATGGATTATTCACTTTCCTAAGAATGTCCCTTAAAGCACCGTTTCCAGTAAAACAATTCAATTGTCAATAGGATACTAAATAATCTAAAAATATCTCAGAGAGATTTGAACAATTATGGACATTTCAAGAATCTTTTTTTATAATATTTTTTATATTTTAATTAAAAAAATTTTGTTTAATTCATTACCTGATCACTACTGAATTTTTTCTGCAAAACTTAATAACATATTTTATTGTATATTGTCACTCTGATATTTCATTACGCATTCGTGCGATGAAATCGATTTTACCACAATATCTATACAAATGCTTGTTTTGCAGGATTATCCGTTTGATGAACTATTCACATTTTCACAGAATATCCCCGATTGTTAAATTTGTAATGTCAAGTGGTATCCAATTTGAGTCATTTTTAATGATTTCTATAGGTCGCTTTCTCATTCAATATGTCATTAATTCAAATAATGAAGTTAAATAATTTAACTCAAGAAAATTAAGTTTGATTCAAATCTAATTTATTTATATTTATTAATTGTAAGTGCATATGTTAAAATGAACAATATTTATTTTAAAACTAAGCAGTTCACATACAGAAATAGGTTAGATTAGATACTGTTATTTTTTAACTACATGTTGTTTATTTAAAAATAATACATTTTTATATGAAAAGTAAAGATGATAAAATATTATCTAATTCAAGGAATTGGTTCAAAGTATCGCACTAATTATATGAAAAATTGAATCCAAATGAATGAGTTATAGTCTTCACATTCATAATTTTTGAGCTACAATATGTCAGGTGTACTATGAGCACAAATTTTACATCTTTTTTTTCACATTATAAACTACATCATATGCGAAAAATTAACTTATTTCACGGGACCCAATTTATCATACAATTATTATATCTCGTTATAATTGTATGGAAAATTGGATCCTTGTAAAGTAAGTCAGTTTTCAC